GAAGGCTCTTGTGAGTAAACGTGCTTTGGAACTTTCTGACTCAGAGTTTAGTCCTATGGTCAAGTTTTGTTATTATTTTAGCTATTTCGGAGATTCAGTGACCAAAAGATGGTAAGTAATCATTTCTCCGTTTTCACAAATCTCTGTAAGCCTTTTATTTTTAACTGGAATATGTCTGGGGTCAAATATACCGTATGCTTTTCACCCGGCAATTCGCAATGAAATTTTAGCTTTAATTAATATTATTTCATCTGCTTTTCGTCAATTTCGACAATCTATGCTTGAATAATAAGGGTTTTTTTCCGGTAAATACAGTATATGTAGATTGAAAACTTTTGTTAACTTTAACTCTCACCAATCGCCCTTGTACTTTGTTCTACATATCGTAATTCAGCGTACTTAGCTTAGCTTTAATATAGCCTCCATGTGTTACGTAGTAATACGCATTAAAGCCGAGCAACTCTTTTTCTACGATGACGGTAAAACTGAAAACTGTCGACGACTCTCAAGAAAATTTAAGTAGCTTCAAATTCGCTAAGATCACATGAGAGGAGAGTTTCAAGTCAAACGATCAAGCAGGAACAAGAGTAATAAAATGTTGATCTTGATTCTATTGGGTCGACATTGTTACAGTAAACCCATATTCAACCCTCTAAAAAACCCAGTCACAAAATGACCCTCCTCCCCCTTGCTATTCCTGGCTGTACAACTCTAAAACTGTGATAATGATCCCATGGATTTTCAGTCTGATTTTCAGTCAACAAATGTACATGTAGCATGTTTTTGTTTCATATTATTTTTCCCATGCTATGAAGAATTCAAACAAAAGGCTGGAAAACTGTTGCATGATATACTAATTACTATATTATAAAGTTAATACTTGTATTTCTCCCACCCCCCGGTAAAAAAAAAATTCTAAATTTTGATATTTGTATGCGTGTTGTATGCATTTGTATGCATGACTGCATAATAATATCTAATATCCTGCCTACTTATTGTTTGTACCTAGAAACCACTTATGCTCCATGGTCATGAGCGATCAATCACTCAGATCAAGTACAATAGAGATGGTGACTTGCTCTTTTCCTCTGCAAAAGACACAAAACCAAATGTCTGGTATTCATTAAATGGTGAAAGACTTGGAACATATAATGGGCATGGTGGTGCTGTCTGGTGTATTGACATCGATTGTATCCTTGAAAAATACATTGATGAGACAGGTTTCTGAATGCAACAACAACAACTTTATTCACTCATACATTTTACAGTTGTACAAAAAGCACATATAAAAAGTAAGACAGAAAAATGTACATTTGAGTCTGGACTGAAGTAAACGAAAAGTGTTCTAGTCAGTCTCCAGTTGTTGTAAGGTTTCCATAGATATTGAGAGAATACAGAATTATTTAAAGAAGAGATGTGTACATAGTGTAACAGAATGGAGAAAATCAACAAAGGTTTACAGAATGTTGTTCAGACAGAGTAGTTTTCTCATCAACAGTTGCATTTCAGTATACAGGCAAAACAAACTGGCCTGTAGCTGACAGGTCTTACCCTTGCCAGGAAGGATTTTTTGGCTTGGTAGCTTCAGTACTACCCTCCACTGATGACCGCACTGTAGAAATTCCTTAAATTGATAATTAATTTGTTTTTAACCAGTAATGGGAAAATTCCTTAACTTAATTGATCTTTTGCTATTCTAGGGGAAACACATCATTTTATTTCTGGGTCAGCAGATAACAGCTTGAGATTTTGGGATTGTGAAACCGCAACCACACTATCTAAATATGAGACAAAAACTGCCGTCAGGGCTTGTGGCTTCTCTTATTGTGGTAGAAAGGTTATGATGACAACAGACAAACAGATGGGACATGAGTGTGTACTTATGTTGTATGATATCAGAGAAGGTTAGTAAATTTACTGTATGTTGTGAGTAAGAGAGTTCGCTCTCACAGTTCCTCTTGTATAAATGGGTGAAAGCTACCTGTACCTGATAACATGATTTGATTGCTTACATTGGACTAACATCCCACCCAAGAGGACTAGTTGCATGTAATAATAATAACATAACACTCAAGAACTAGGGAGAAACACGTAACGGCATCTTGTGTTTCCCCCTACACCTCTTTCATGCTCTGCCACTTTGCGTGTGCCTTACAACAGAACAGAACACAGTCTAGGCTTCTTTATTTGTTAATTATTACCCTTGTTAGTGGGACTGAGTTCTATTAAAATTGCTCTGCATTGGCATTCTTGAGCAATATTCAATGTGTTTCACTCTCAAAGTTCTCTTTCCACCCAGGTATATAGATGGCTACTGGTCGACTTAATCAGCTTAGGGTAACCCTGCAATGATGTAATAGTAGACCTAACAATGTAGCAATGCTACTGAGACCAGGGTAGGCTCCCCGCCTTACTCCGTTAGTTGAGCAAAAAGATAAGGTCCATGTGACACAATGCATGAGACACAATGCAGAGTTTTTCTTTCACCCTTTACACATATGTAACTAAAACCTTTATTTTGTGTACGTGTATCTTAATTACCTGACACCCTGTGTTTGTTTGAAGGCTCCAAGGAACCATTTCTTACTGTACCGATTGATGGACCTAAAGTGACAGCGGCCCTTTGGGGTCCATTAGACCAGTACATAATCACTGGACATGAAAATGGAGATCTTTGCCAGTGGGATACAAAGGTGAGAGTAAGATAGTTACGCTGCATTTGAATGTTTATGGGAAGGTGGTTGGGGTTACAAAAGCCCAGGTCTGGGTTGTTCAAAAGGTAGATAATGCTACATGTATGCACTAGATAAATCACTATCCAGCAAATAGTATGTTTTGTTTGGTTCACATTTACCCACTGGATAGCGATTTATCTGGTGGATAGCACTATTCAGCCTTCCAACAACTGGGGCCAGATGACTTGTTCTTATATTTTGTCATCTTTAGGTTTAACAACTAGATTCCATGTTGCTGTACATTTGTTTGAAGTAATTTATCACAGATGACCACAAAATGTGGTAAGAACAACAAAGTGGCACAGGAGACGATAGCCAAGTGTGTCACCAATGTTCTCACAACATTTGGATGTCATCTGTTATCAATTACTGAAGAGATGCATGGGAACGTGGAATCTATTTGTTTTACAGTATGTGATTAAGAAACAAAACAAAAATGTCAATGACATCATCTATTCATCTGTCCTCCAATCAATCATAAGTAAAAAGCAATCAAAATATGAGAATAATTCAACATGATATTATAGAAATTTTGATTGATAATCTACATGCACACTGTATGCATGCTGATTTAACCAGTGGAAGGTCTTGCAAGAGGAACATCATAAATTATGTGCAATGTACTGTTTACAGTGCTTGAGCCATAACTAATATTGCTTACAGAAATACACACATGTGCATGTATGCATTTGTTGTGGACAGTTGCATGTACATGTTTAGGAAATGTTTAGCCAGCACATTGATGTCTCCTAGAGATCACCTGCGCACGGGCTAGAAAATGCACGTGCATTTGTTGTGTATGTATCTGTTTCAGTCAGCAGGGTTTTAGCTAAGAAAATAGTCTCCTGGCTAAGATTTCCATTGAGCTGGTCACCATTTTTTGCGAGAGACCTGGAACAAAATTTCTAAATCTTCTAACTCTTTTGCAACACCTTAAATGCGGGGCTATCAAGCTCTCTGTTCACAAGATGGTGGATGCGGTACACAGAAAGAAGACACATGCTCAAAACAAGATTTTCAATTACTTAACTTGTTATAGTGGCACCGATACTCAAGGTAGTTGGGAATTTATTCCAAACATTTAATTTAGATGTTTCAGATATCGAATGGTTGTATGTGCGTAACCTAAAAACCGTTTGTTGTCATTTACTGAGTGATTGCGTGCTCAATTCCAGCCGCCGATCACCTCTTTCCCAGCCGGCAAATTTTGCTGGCAGCCAGTGCTTTGTGACAACTCTGAGTCACATGCATCGATCACCTTTTAATAAACATATAAATACAAATAGGTAGACAGAAGTGAGCAGGGATGGCACTGTGGACCTATGGCGAAAGCACCCGCCTCCCACCAGTGTGGCCTGGGTTCGATTCCAGCCCGGTGCCATAATTTATGTGGGTTGAGTTTGTTGTTGGTTCTTGCCTATCTCTCAGGGTTTTTCTCCGGGTTCTCCGGTTTTCCTGCCTCCTGAAAAACCAACACTTCAAATTCCAATTGGACCAGGATAGAGGACCTGCATAAAAACCACCTAAGGCTGATGTGGCTTTCTCTCTAAATATTGTAATTTATTTTATTAATTTCTTAATTCTGTTCAGTTCTAATTAGTGAAAATGATTAACTGCACCTCATCACCGACTTTATGTAACTTAGCAACATCACTTTCACATGTTTGGTTTGTTTGCTGTTTTAAGTATTTATTTATTTTCATTACAGACAGGAAACAAATTGTTAACTGTTCACGAGCACACAAAACAAATCAACGATATACAGATGTACAAGGATCAGACCATGTTTATAACCGCTTCAAAAGATCATACAGCTAAGGTTAGTGTTGAGAGCATTCCACGGCAGACATTTT